TTTTTGGTACCGGGGATCGAACTTGGTCAAAGATTCTGTTTTTGTCCTGTCTTAGCTATTACCTCTCCTGAAGGTCCTGGTTTTTGTTATTGTTTTGTTTGTCTTTGAGACACAGTCTCAATATGTAGTTCAGGCTGGCCTTAAATTCACTATGCAGCCCATGCTGGACTCAAACACACAGCAATCCTGCCTCAGACTCCTGAATGCTGGGATTACTGGCACGTGCCATCATGCCTGGCCTAAATCTCCTGTTCTTTACAACCTAGCCACACAGGGTTGTAAGCACCACACAGGGTTGTAAAGGGCCACAGCAGGAGTTGGTGGCACATGCCTGTAGTCTCAGCACTGGGGAGACTGAGGCAGGAGGATCACCACAAGTTTGAGGCCAGCCTGGGCTATATAGTGAGTTCAAGGCAGCCTGAACTACATAGTGAGACCCTGTCTCAAAAAACAAACAAACAGAAAAGGAAAAAAACTGGCTTCTGGACACTGTGGGTATGAAGTAAGGCTCCTACTTGCAAGGAGCTTTTTAGGCCTGTCATTGGCTAAATTCTCAGCCCCTGCAGACAGTTTGCTTATATCAGGCATCTGCTGCCCTGCCTCCTTCCTCCACAACACTGATTGGTTGTGCCTCTCTGACTAGGCTTTTTGTGACTGCTATTGATTATTGCTTTTATTGGCAAAGAGCACACCAAAATAAAAAAAAAACACAAGTGTTGGTGCAGGGAGAGAGTACAGTGCTTTGTGTGTGTCTCCAGGGCTGGGGAAAGACCTTCAGGGGCTCAGTGGTCAGCCTGGTCCCTGTGCTTCTTCGTGCACCTCTGCAATTATCTAAGGATGTTTGTCTGTCTCCTTCTCACAGGGCGAGCTGCATGCGGCCTTCCCTGCATACCCAGAATGCCTGGGTCTCCATTCATGCTGACATTGAGGCAGGGTTCCCCAGAAAGCAGTCATTTCAGGGTTGGGCCATCAACCACACCTCTGCTCATTCTGCATGCAACTGCCCCAGCTGTCTAGTCATCACAATTTGGGGTTAGGGGTTTGGTTCCAGAACAGCAAACAGCAGCAGCAGCAGCAGCCCCAGCAATTACTCTTACCACATAGCCCAAGAATATTCCCAGAGTTGTCCCATCATGTTCAATATCTAGGCCAATGCTTTTAGCTGTATTATCAAGCTTACTGCCATTTATAGATTAAAAAGAAAACACAAAAAAAACCAACCCTGGGGCTAGAGATTGCAACGTGGAAGACGAGGATTTATGTTTGGGTTCAATTTCTGTATCTGTACATTGGAAATAATACATACCACTTAGGGTTGCTGACAGGATTAAATAAATGCTACGTATGTGTTTACTTGTTTATTGCCTATTTTCTGCTCTAGACTATAAACTCCAGCAAGCAAAGGCCTTCGCTTGTTCATTGCTCTCTTGACAGAGCCTGAAATCAGTGCCAGGTACATAGCAGGTGTTCAATAAATTCTTTTTTTTTTTCATTAAGTTTATTGGTATATTTTAGGTATACAATACAGTTACATTCATTGTTGGGAACTTGTACCTTTACACGATGTATCTTGGTTCTTACTTTTTCCCCCTTCCCCTGCCCTCCCTTCACCCCCTCCACCCCTCCCTATATACAGAGACTTTGTTTTCATTTTTTCCTTTTCTCATATTTTTTCTTTTCCTTTCCCCTACCCCTCCCAC